TGTGTGTGTGTGTGTGTGAGAGAGAGTGTGTGTGTGAGAGAGAGAGAGAGAGAGTGTGTGTGTGTGTTTGTTTGTGTGTGTGTGTGTGTGAGAGAGAGAGAGAGTGTGTGTGAGAGAGAGTGAGTGTGTGTGTGTGTGTGATGGATGGATGTAGGCCGCCCTGTTTTGATCAGTGATATATGACTGTGTGTTTGTGGCTCCGGCCAGCTGAGGGAATTAGATCCCTGACAGCCTGTTTTATTTTTTATTTTGTGCAACTACGTTGAGCAAAACGTGGAAGCATTTGTCATCTATGCACCTTTTGTGCACCTATGCACCAAAGCTGATGATTTTGTGAAGTAACACTGTTTTGTAAATAAGTTAATCCTATCAAGCCTACTGTGTCATATGTGATAATTCTTAGCCCTTTTTATGTTACCAACATGTTCAAAACTTTGCTGTTAAACCTGTTGCACCCAATCTACTACTCACAATCTAGCAAGTAAAAGGTCTTTTAGTGTAATTGTACAAACGCCCACTTTAAGCTCGTGCTTTTTACTGTGAAATCTACAGATATAAGATTAACTTTGATATTGTTAGTAATATTTCAAGATGAACACCTACTGGACTGAAGTAACTTCGCTTTACTTAATTATCCAGACATAATTTTTTAGGAAAATCATGTTCAAATGTGAGTTTCAAATATGATCATCTTCTGAGGAACGTTTATTGTTCATCTCTCAAACATTATTGTATTGAATTGCATTACGTGCGTTGATAATAAAACTAAGTATTTAAACACGTCTTACTAAGACATTATTGGGAGATACAGAGCAACAACTGATATTTATATAATTTTATGTAAGTATCTGCTATGCTGTTATAAAGACCTCATTGATTTACATTGATACATTACAAGCATCAGAATTTCATCACTTTTTGTCCATACAAATATCAGCATCTGCGCCAAATTGCATATTTTTGATCTGTTTGGGCCTGAGGTGTTTTTCTCAATATTCTCATTATATTAAACTATATGAGCCATAAAAGCATGATGTATCAAATATGATACTTAACATAAAACACACATGCGAACTCTTTCTTTTAAATTTCATCTTAAGGTCCAATTAATTGCTTTTTTTTTTTTTTTATTAAAAAAATTGACTTATTTCAAATGTCAGGCTTCACAGGTTAATACACAAAGGCCATCTGCCTTGAGTTTTTCCTCTCTCTTGTATTCTCCGGGGAGAGTCTGTATATTTGACATTACAGGTGTTGTAGACTCACAGGTGGGATCGGACCCGTCTTGGAGGTGCGGGGGGACAAATGCAAATTCATGCTCAGCAGATTGTGGCCTTTGTTCGGCCAGATAGGACATGATCATTTAGACCTCTTAGAGAAAGAACCTTTGCTTTTGGTCACCCAGGTCTCTCTCTTTTCCTCATTTCCAATATCAAACCACCCACGTTTACACACACACACACACACACACACACACACATACACACATGTTGGTTTTTATGGTTTATGAGGACTCTCCATAGGCGTAATGGTTTTTATACTGTTCAAACCGTATTTTCTATTGCCCTACACCAACCCTACCCCTAAACCTACCCCTCACAGGAAACTTTGTGCATTTTTAGATTTTCAAAAAAACTCATTCTGAATGATTTATAAGCCTTTTAAATTACGGGGACACTCAAAATGTCCTCATAAATCACCTTCTCGTTGTAATACGTATGTCATACCCATGTCATAATACAAATTTGTGTCCTCATAAACCACATAAACATGCACACACACACACACACACACATCATAATCATCAGCAGCAGTTTTCCTTCTCAGAAGTGTTTCTATTAAAGCATACCTCTTAAGCCGTCATTAAACTGAACTGGTGAGACCAGGTATTTCGTTAAGTGAGCAGCAGTAATGGTATGCGGTCCGTCGAGGAGTTACCGTGGTAACTCAACACTGTAGCTGACCGACTGTAGCGGCACGTCTCAATAATTAATGCGGCTTCCTGATTGCATTGTGTTTCTGACTCGCGTCTTCAGTGTATACTGACTGTCTTGAGCTTGTAGATTCTTATTGTCTTGATTAATTTGCTGGTTTTGCTTCCATATCTCAAAATAAACCAGACCTCAGTAAATATCTGACAATCCTGGGTTTGGTGTTAGCCAATCAGCATGCAGACAATGGTATCTCGGTTGGATCCTTTTAAGTTTGCTGCTGTTATGATGCCAGATGTTAGAGGAATTAGTTCAGAACATTTTAAATGACATGTTTGATTTGTTATAGTCTGTACATAGTGACTTATATGAACTTTCTGAACTTGATGTGTAGGTGTTTAAGGCTTTGAACTTAGCTTATCGAGACTTTAGAGCTGGAAAAATTCATTTTACCTGTTATTTGCATATCGGACTGTATTGATTTAATTATTTTCACGGTACTGTGTCAGAGAACAGGCACGGAGACGAAGATGAATTTAAATCAGTCTTTAATAATTCCACAAATAGGTAAATCCATATACAGGAAGGCTGTTGACACACGTAGACGTTAACGAGACCCGACAAACTGAAACTGAACAGACAGGAACTTAAATACAAAGGCAAATGAGGGACTAATGACAAGACACAGGTGAACTAACTAAAGTGATCAAGGGGAAACTAGGTCAACAGAAGTTAGACAGGGGAACAGAAACGGAAGGAAACACAAAAGTCCATAACTGTGACAGTAGTGACCGTGGTGGCTATAATATATAGTATAGCCTCTTGTACCTGGTTGCGTAAAATATCATAATATTTTGGTGAAGCGACACACGTCTGGTGTATATACACTGTGGTGACGTATGCCAGATTTCTTCAGTCATTTTATCGGCATAATCTCCACCGCTTTCTTACATTTGACTGCAAGCTCACATTTATATCTGCCTCCGTCCAATTAACAACCGCTGAATTGAACCACGTCCGTACATTTTTTATTTTTCAATAATCGGTTTCATTTGGATGTACACAACAATACAGAAGAATTGATCTGTCGCTACTCTTGTTACATCACAACTTAAATTAATAATAAACATCATATTTCCATGAACAATAAACTGTTGTGTTATAAAAAAATCAGTCATGTTGTTATAATATATTTAGGCTAGTTAGAGTAGATTTATAAGGATTAATTCACCCAAAAATGAAAATGTTATCCTTATTTACTCTCCTTCTTGACATTCTCATGATTTCATGAAATTAAACATTTGAAAGAATTTTACTTTTTTTTTTTTTTATATATACCGTTCATTCCATTTATAGTTTCCATTCATGCATTTGGCAGACACTGTTATCAAAATTGCATATATCTTAAATTGCATTTAAGGCATACATTTTATCATTTCATGCATTCCCTGGGAATCACCATTACAAAAATAAGGTGCTTCAAGCTTTAAAATGGATGCACAAGCGCCATAAAATCCTTTTTCCATAAAAAGATTTTTAAGGTTTTTGAAAAAAAAAAAACTTTCTATTTCAAAATGTAATGTTTAATTCAATGTACTGCTTTGTTCTTTGTATAATTGTCTAAAAAATCTTACTCTACATTTTTAAAGTGAGATTTGTGTGAGAAACTGACTGAAATGAAATCTAAACATCCACCTTAACTCCTCGTTATGTTCGTGAGAGAAGAACTTATTATTTCTGATTCTTGAATCAGATTCTCTTCAAAGATGATTTCAGCTCACAGGAAGAGGATTATGAGTGAATAATGACTCAATTTTCAAAGTCATGCAGGTTTGAAATGACATGAGGGTGCGTAAATGATGACAATTTTTATTTGTTAACTTCTTCAGAAAAGATAAATGCTTTGAGTTGTTGGAGGATGAGTCATTCCTCACCAGAGTTTGGTAATCATTGTTAAACATTTCTGACTCTAAAGGCAGTTACTAACAGAGCAAACAGTCTTTATCCTGGATGAGATCCTGGTAGAAACAACTCTCACGTTGTGCTGAAACAGTCTGAAATGATGCAGCCTCATCAACAAGTAGGCGTGCTGCAGGATGTTGCAGAACCGCTGCACGGG